TGAGGGTTGCGATCCGTTGCCGGACACGGAAAAAGACAAAAGACAAAAAAAAAAAAGATGGAAAAGACATTTAAATTTGTGTGTGGAGGCCATGAACAAAAAGGTGCTCTGATTGAGCATTCAGTACTGTCTATTGCTGAGGGTTGCGATCCGTTGCCGGACACGGAAAAAGACAAAAGACAAAAAAAAAAAGATGGAAAAGACATTTAAATTTGTGTGTGGAGGCCATGAACAAAAAGGTGCTCTGATTGAGCATTCAGTACTGTCTATTGTTTCAAGAATCCACTGGAGGTCTTGGGACGTTATCTCCAGGTTTTTTTGAGCAGGAGGATCTCTTGTTAGATACCCCACTTTGTGTGGGCCAGACTTTGTATGTTAACTTTCTCTTCTTTTAGTGGGGGGGACTACTGTGGTTAAACCACTGTTAACCTCAAGTAGGTATTTTAATAAATTAATATAGCTCTTGAATTGGGACAATGCTCATTTTTAGTCTATATTAACCTGAGATTGTGTAATAATTCTTTTCCTTTTTATTATATTTAATGTTTCTCTGTTACTGTTCTTTTGGTGTATGATTTCAGAAATTGGCAGAGTAAAAATTTGAAAGAATATTGAATTTAGGTTTTCTTGCGTATTTGCCTTCATTAGTGATAATGATTCAGTAATCATATTAGGAATGATTTGAGATATCAAGGCATTAGAGCTTTTTTGTAAAAGTATAGAATATTCACTAGAATAGGAAAGCATTTTATTGAAACTGAATGAGGACTTTTAATTTTTAAACAGTATAAAGTGTTTTCCTTTTAGATAAGCGATGAAGAGAAGCATCTACGAGAACAGGAGATTATGACCTCATCACCAAGTTTAAGTGGGACTAAGTTAGAGTTGGAGTCAGTTTATAAGGTATGTAAACATTAAAATATTTTCTAGGTTTTGTTAAATTTGTCACATTGAACATTATATACATACTTAATTAACCCATTTGTATAGTCTCTCATCACCATAGCTACTCCCTCTCCTGCATAGATAGGGTCCTCAGCACACTAGGGGTGTGCCATTATTCCGTGCTGGGCTGTCTTCTTACACAGACACCCTCCCCACCCTGTCTGTCTCTGACCCCCACTGCAGCCCATTCTCTCAAAGGAATACCTTCTTCGCATTTCTTGGGCTCCTTCCCCCTGTGCTGGCTGTCCCCTGCAAGGATGCCCTCATCTGCCATTAGACCCTAACATGCTTGTCAGATCACTGCCTTGTATGGAAGCCCTCTGCTCCTGGGCTCTGACACCATACTTTGGACTGCCTCCTTATGTGATCTCTCCCTTATTCCACTTGGGCTCTGACACTGTAAGCCTACTTGCTTTCCTGTGGGAACATCTTCCTTAACCTACTCAGAGTCCGGCCTCCTGTGCTGGGCTACCTTGATTTCCCTGACTACTCAGCACAGACATCTGCTTTGCATGAACCTTCCAAAAGGCTTTTGGACTGAATAGTTCCGGAAGAAGAAAAGGGGAGAGCTGAAATTCATTTTAAAATTTGGTAACTGCAACCCCACCATTTCCTTTGAAAAGAATGTACTGATCATTATTGGTGAATGCTAGTAGTTTAAACTCCTGCCTCCACATTAGCTCCCCATGCCAGCTTCCCTATTTCTACCTGTTGGGCCATCATTCGGTCAGCCATTCAAGCTTCGTGTATGAGATCAATATTTATTCCCCTCACACCATACATTTCTTGTTACTCTGCCTTCACATCATCTTTTCTTTCTGCTTGGGCATTTGTACTTCTACTGCAACCACTCTAACAAGCTAGAATCATAGAATATTATAGCTAAACAACTCCGAAGGGTCATTTATCCCATGTCTTCCTCCCCTCTCTCAGTTCTATAGATCTAGCTACTGAGGTTTACAATTTACCATTCATTAAATTTACCAAATCATGTCTAGTCAGTAACAGAGCTTGGACTAGAACTCACGTTTCCAAACTTATGTTCCCTTTTCTTGCCTGTATTATTGCAGTAAACCCTCTTACCTGCTTCTCTAATATGTCTTGTGTGAACTACCTGTTTGATGCAGTCTCACAACACAGTGCCACCCTATAGAGCTCAGTGACTTTCCGTGTGTGTCTGGTTGTTTTCTCAACCGAGTGATGATCTCTTTGAGGGCAAGTTGTAGAAGTCAGTTAAGTTAAAAGTTATCTGTTAAAAAACACATGATCTATTTATAGTGTAAGTTGGATACACAGAAGAATTTTAGGCGTATGGATTTAACACCTCCTTAAAACTTGGATGAATAGGCAATTTGGGGATCATTTTTCAACTAATTTTTTTCACTTCATTTTTAAAAAGAAGAAAGTCTATATTAGAGAGTGAGGATGATTTTCATAGTTTACTAATATCATAGTCTGCTCATCTCTTAGAATTTTAGGATAGTTCATAGGACTTAAAAAAATCTAAGTAGAGGGTTTTTTTTAAAAAATAAATGCTCTTGGCAAATTCTTATTTTAATAGCAAAACTGAATGTCTATTATTATTTCCATTTCTTAGTGTCGAGATTAGCTTTTCCAATATATTTCTCTAGAATGGAAACGTGATGAAGAAATTTGGAATTTCTTTACTTACAAGTAATTCTTAGCCCTGAATATGTTGGATATAAATTAGGATTCTATGTGCAGAATAAAATGTGGGCTATGTCATGTGAGGTGAATCCAGCTCTGGTCTTGAGTTAGGAGTCTGAAATCCAGAGTATTATAATTTGTAAATTCATAGGTTAAGGATAGAAGCCATTTAACTTGGCTTTTTAGCATTATTATTATTTTTTGAAACATCTGCTCAGAAATGAATGTATTTTTATATTGCTACTCCTTCCTACTGCTAATTATTTAGTAATAAAGAGTATAAATTGGCGTTTATGTTTTTCTTTTGGATCTGTTAGTACTAATGAATTTCTCTCATCTGCTCAGAAATGAATGTATTTTTATATTGCTACTCCTTCCTACTGCTAATTATTTAGTATTAAAGAGTATAAATTGGCGTTTATGTTTTTCTTTTGGATCTGTTAGTACTAATGAATTTCTCTCTTTAGACTTAATATAATGAAGACTTAGTAGGATTTCATAATGATAGGTGCTGACTTATGTTTTTCCGTTTCACCTGGATTCAGATCCCTTTTGCTGATGCTCTGGATTTGTTCCGAGGAAGGAAAGTCTATTTGGAAGATGGCTTTGCTTACGTACCACATAAGGACATTGTGGCAATCATCCTGAACGAATTTAGAGCCAAACTCTCCAAGGCTTTGGCAGTAAGTATAGCACTTTATTTTCATATTTGGCATGTTCACATTTTTAATTATATACCCTTGGTAATTTTGTTCTGTGCTTCTTTAGGAAATAAGTTAATTTAATTTTCAGTCTCTCTCAGTTTGGGTTTGTCTGACGTTTCGATTCAAGTTATACGTTTGAAGCAAGCAAATCATAGAAGTGATGCTGTGTTCTTTTTACTGCATTCTCTTGGATAACATGATTTTGATTCATTCCAATTCTGAATGACTTTATGAAAATTTATTTACCCATTCTATTGTTCATAGGCGTTTGGGTTTCGTTTTGTTTTGCTTGTTGCTACTAATACTGCTGCTGTGAACATTCTAGTATCTCTTTTGGCAAATGCATTTCTGCTGTTTATATGTCTTGGAATGGAATTGTAGGGTACAGGGTTTGTTTATGTTTAGCTTTAATGGATTCAAATTTACTTTAAACGAATTTGTCCTGATTACCTGTGGGTTGTTGAGATCTCTGGCCTCAGTGTCTTGGATTTGGAAGAAGAGGGACAGTGACTTGTCTCAGGCAGTGTTTGGCTTTCTCCTGGGTGGATCAGGGCCAAGCCTGGTTGAGAGGAGATCCAGAGAGCCCTTTGCCTTATCATACAGGAGGGTGGATGGAGTATATTGCCTGGGTACCTGTCCTGACAGCTGTGGAAGGGAGCAGAAAGGATGGGAAGGAGCTTCTTTTGTGGCTGTGGTGAAGTAGAGGTCTAAACTTACTGCTATGGTGTCTTTATTACTGTCCTTCCCAGTGAGGAAGGTTTTGACTTTGGAGTATGTAATTGACATTTTTTGGCTTTATAAATAAAGATATTCTTGTAGGATGAGGAAAAGTGCCCTAAAGTAGATTTTAAAACAATATTTTAATTAGTGTTAGAGGATGAAATAAAATTTTCTGAGGGAAATTGTAAATTGCTAGAAGAGTTTTACCCCAGGTGATATCTGAAAGCTTATTCTTAGCCTGTGATCATTTGATTTTTATAATATAACTAATCTGGCTTTTGAGCATGCTTTAGGACTTGTGAAAATTTGACATTACTTTCTCCTTTGAGAAGAACTCTTTTTTTACTCTACTGACCTATTTAGACTCACTTCTTCAAGGAGCCCTTTTCTAAGCCCCAGTATTATGCTAAGCGTATCTCCTTTGTGCTGCCATAGCACTCTGCACACTACCAAACTATAGTGAAATTATTCTAATTATGTGATTTTTCTCCCCAGCTAAATGTAAGCTCTTTGAGAGTAAGGGCTTTCTCTTAATTCATATATTCTATCTAGTGTAGCATCTGGCCCAGTGCTCAGTAAAATTTTGTTAAAGTGATGGATATTGAATAACTATACGAACTTCCTTTCGTTCATAGTTTATTGTTTTTGCATATGTCATTTGATCCTTATTACAAGCCTCTGAGATAACATAGATGAGGAAAATGTAGCTTAGAGTGGCTAAGTAATTTGTCCAAGGTTATGTTGGCTAGTAATCGCTGAAACTATGACTGGATCTCAGATTTTCTGATTGTAATTCTTAGGATCTTTTGATGATAACTGTGCCTTTGTAAGGAGTCCTATAACCAGCAGATTTAGATCTTCAAACTCTGAGAAAATATTGAAAGGTAGGTATGTTAGGGGTCCAGTTACAGAACAGGCAAAAAGGGTGATTTAGGAGGTATGGCATGATAGATTGATAGCCAGTTAATGAAATGAGTGTGGGAAAGATATATTTCTTTGCTTCATATAACACTTTTATTTTGTTTTTAATTTTAATTTAATTTTATTTTAATTTATCAATATACAATGTAGTTGATTTGAGTCCCTTTACTAATTCCTCTTCCCCTTCTACCCCCCCATCAATATCATATCTGTTCACTTGTCTCAACAAGTTCAAGGAATTGTTGTGATTGTTGTGTCTTCTTCCCCCCCAAATTGTTTGTATATTTATTTCTTTATTTATTAGCTCCCACAAATAAATGAGAACATGTGGTATTTCTCTTTCTGTGCCTGGCTTATTTCACTTATTTTCACTACCCCCTCTTATTGCCCTAGATTTCTTCTCTCCTTCTGAAAGAGTAATGGTTACTCTGTTAATTTGTTGCCTAGATTATCTGTCCAATGCTGAGAGGTGTGTTCAGATCCCCCAGTATTATCAGAGGGCAGATACTTCTTCTGTTACTCTGGAATGAGCTTTGTAGATAGAGACATCCTCTTCTATTCTTTGGTCTCTGCTCATGACTCTCCTTGTGTCAATGCGCTCCAATGGCTAGTGGACCATCTGCACAGTGGTTGTGGCATCTAGGCGCTTTGGCAGCCGCCATGGTTATTGTGGTGGCTGTGGTGGGTCACCCACATGGAGGTGATGTTTTTGGCATGCTCCTTACCTACTTGGTGGTGGTGATGGTGGTGTGCCTGGTTGTGGGAGGGGGTACGGTCCCAGACTCCATGCCTCAGGACCACGGGCGGGCCCTGTGGTGCTGGCAGTGTGCCTGGTTGTGGGAGGAGGGTCTGGTCCCTGGCTCCAAGCCTCAGGACCCCGGATGGGCCCCATGGTGCTGGCAGTGTGCCTGGTTGTGGACGGAGGGTCTGGTCCCCAGATCCATGCCTTCGGACCCCAGGCGGGCCCTGTGGCACTGGCGGTGTGCCTGTTTGTCCCCCTTTTCTGGCTTGGTAGCCTAGGGGACTTCTATTCCTTCTAGGTATTATAGGTGTTCTTTGGTGAAATGAGACCTTTACTAGTTAATATCAAACTTTGACTCTGGTTGTGGGTACTCTGTTTTTTTCTTTCAGTTCTGTGTTGGATTATTTGCTGTTCCCACCACTTAAACTCTGCTCTGAAACTAATTTCTTGTCCTTTGCTTAGTTTTAAAGAGGGAGAACTTCCTGTCGGAACCAGTACTTGAACTCTGTGGTTGACCTAAATTGCCATTTTGCTGTTGATTCCCTGGGGAAGGCTTTTTGTGCAGCTCAGGTTTAATGGTTGACTTTATAGAACTTCTGGGTTTAGTGAAATCCAGTGCACCCAGGTGGTGTAGAAACACTGGTCTGGGCCTGAATCTTTTCATCAAACTGTACCCCATGCAATTCTATATCCCTGACCAGTCTCCTCTGAGTGGTCCTATGCTGTCTTGGGGGCAGATCAGCTGTCTTGCTGTGTCCCAGTGTTCTCCTTGTTGGCCCCTCTCCCCCACTACCCATGCTGCGAACACTCCCCATGGGACGGGCTGTATGCTGGTCCCTTGCAATGACTCACTGGCCTGTGAGTGGCTCCTATTTTTCAATTGTTGTGGCTCCTTGCTCCTATGTGCGTCCTTGGGAACACTATTAGTGGTCTCGCTGGCCTGGGGGCCACCAAGGCCCTCTTCTCCCCTGCTGCCTCCAAGCAACTTCATCTGAAGGGCGTAGCTGCGCCTGGGGGCCACCAAGGCCCTCTTCTCCCCTGCCGCCTCCAAGCAACTTCATCTGAAGGGCGTAGCTGTGGCTTTTGCCAGCTCTTGCTCTGTGTGCTCTGCTGCTCCAGCCTGGAAATGACCAGGGCTCAAAACGGTTGGAGAAGTTTTTTCTTTCTCTCATCATGGCTTCTCTGGCCTACATGCACTCCTTACGTGTTTCCTCCTCTTCCCCTGAGCTCTAGTGGCCCCAGCTTGGCTGTCATTGCTTTTTAATAATTGTAAATTAGTTGATTTGTGGGAGAGAGTGACACTGGGGACTGTCTATTCTACCATCTTGACTGGAAGCTCCCGTTTGTCCTTTTTTTAAAAGCAATGTTCAGTTTAGTTCCATAAACTGTGGTTAAACATAATTAATTTTCTGGAATGTTTACTCTGGAATCATAAAGGAGTTTTCTTTTCACATTATTTGTGTCTAACTAGTTGATTCTTTGGGGTTTGGTTGATTAAATGTCTTTCTAATATAACTTCCTGATTATTTAATGTTATTTTAAAGTGATTTGCTGTGAACCAGTCAGTGGTGCAGCTCATCCATCAATGGGCAAGTAGTGGATAACACACCTTCACCTCCACCATTACTGTCAGGCATCAATCTATTTATTCTCCCATGGTATTGATCTGTAGGAAATAAAACATTGCTATTGAAAGCCATCAAACTAACAGAAAAAAAAAAAATTCATTTTGGGGGAAAAAATAAACACATGCTCTTTCTACCTTGATACATTTGTTGACTGGGGATGCTAACTGTAAGTTGATCATTGTTCTATTTGTGATGTATTGGTTTGTTAAACCCTTCATAATGTCCAGTTTACAATTTGTTGTACATATGACAAACATTTCTTTAACATATATCAGGTTTACTGTACGATGCCTGGGTAGTATGGGAAATGGGAAGTTTATCAGACAGGACCCTGGCCCTCAAGAACTCTCTTTTCTAGTGGGGGGAGGGGTAAGATGTACATTAAGGACTCAATGACTAGATAGCAAAAGAGGAGTGGCCTGAGAGTTGTATCACCTAAGCTCAGAGAATTTTGATAAAAGATGGAGTTGATATTGGCTTTAAATGATTTGGCTACAGGGAGATGAATAGCTTGCAGAGAGTAGGAGAGGTAAATGGTTAGGTGCCAGAAAACATGGGCTATGTTTGGAGAATGGTTGGTGATCTGACTAGTTGGACTTAAAATCTGCAGAGAAGAATAGTAGAAGATCAAATTGAAACAGTGGGTATCAGCAACCTAATGAGTTTGAGTTTTAGTCTGTATGCTGGTGGTTTCCAAACTTTTTTGATTGTGCTCCCTCAGTTAAAATATCACACTCCCCTAATGTACAGATGTAGCCATTATAAAATGGTGGTTTAAAAAAGAATGAGAAAAAAGTATGAATAAATATTAGTAATTTTCCCCCCCATTTCAGTAGGTCAGTTTGCATATATCCAGTTTGGAATCACTGTTGTAAACTGCTAGCATTGTCACTGGAGATATATTTTAGCAATAGGAATGTAAACAGATTTGGGAGAAAAAATGATTTTGGTATTGGGTATGTTAAGCT